CTACCTGATGTTGAAGAGCCTAGTACCTGGTCAAAAATCATTGCTGGCTTGCAGGTAGATACTGTTTTGTGTGATATCCATACACTGCGTTGCAGTCTGTAATTGCACAACTCTTCAGTGTGCATTGAGAGATTGTCGTCGAGCATTTCCACATCTGACTACGGTAGCAACACCGGTTGGCAATGGGACGTTTATTATACGACGGGCTCGAGGATCGGAATGTATATGTTCCATAAATAGATTGCAGATGGAAGAGGTACGGTAACGCTACTGTAAAAGAGGACTGCTATGGCATTTATGACTTACTGTGCACCTATGCCGCACCGCCCACTCTCGCCACTAAACAGATGACAATCAAACTAAATCTCACCAATCAGACGAAAGTAGGCGAGGCAACAGAAAGTCATCTCCTTTGCAAAGCCGCATTGATAAGGTGCTAAAGGTTAGAGCGCAAAAGAAGCAAAATAATAGTGTCCTGTGGTAACCAATTACTTTACCTTTTAGCAATGTTGTAGGTGCTATTGACTCTGATATAGCTCGCAAAGACTTCCTTGATATTGAGACTATTGCGAATTATACTGAATAAGGCAGGAATCTCATTTCCTACTTAAGATGGATTCGAAAGCATTCTGCGTTAAGCTCTATTGCTCCTCAACAATAATATGGAACTTATACCTGTCCTGGGCATTTCAACAATTTTTTTTTTGCTAAACATATCTGGTGTATGAGTAAATGAACAAATTTATAAGTAAGAACTCGATTGACATGAAGCTACCGAAGCGAGCACAGCTCGTCCATTCTTCCACAGAATTATCGGCTTCACAAATTTTTTCGCAAAAGAATAGAAGCCTGCTGTCAGGTCAAATCCCTCTATTTTCTTAGAAATTTTTCTTAAAAAAATGCTTAAAACAGTTAGTTTTACAGAAACTTTTATTTAAACATTTTAAAACAGTTTAGAAGTTATTTTTACATTCTCTAAACCTCATAAATTCTCCAATATTTCAGAAGCCTTGAAGTTGTGATGCTTTATGTGGAATACGTGTTGCGAAGCAGGGTACATCAATGTAGATGGTGTTATTATTGACAGTTAATACAAGTATTTCAAATATAAATATGTTTTTGTTGTTATTAATCTTCGCCACAGTCATACATTAACAACAGACTTTATTAGAAGAGTAAATAATGTAAAGAAAGGTAATCAATTCAATAAATCAATAACAAAAAAAAAGTCATTCAAATTTGATACATTTGTATGTACATCTACAATCACAACCGCATTTACCTTGTCGTTTTTTGTGTATAATACGTACAGGTTCCGTTCCTGTTGCACATTGTTCCACACCACACGCACAACTACACTCTTCGCAAAGTGCTGCAAATTATCTTTGGGTTTTTATGGCTTATCAATGCTTATGCGTATAAGGAAACTCACGATCAGTTGTTACCACGGGGAAATCGACTGATTGGAATGGGCAGATTTCAGTTTTCCAAAGGAGGTCAACTAGGGTTCGATTTGTGTTGTATTGATGCCAGCATTGTAAGCCGCGATATGTCTAAACAATAATAATCACAGCGGGTTATGCAGTGTTCTGATCAAGGAGGGGCGGAGCTTAAGCAACGCGTTGCGTACGCCCGCGCTGGCAGAAACAAACCGGTTTGCCAACATGTTAACTATAAAATCATATAGAACGTTCCAAATTTCAAGTTCAATTCAAGAAAGCCTAAGTAGTTAGTCACTTAAATAAGCATAACGTAAGGAATTATTTATTGATTTAATTTCCTCACCAAATCCGCTACCAAGGAATGCGCAAAGTCTCGCGTTGCTGTATTGATTTGATCATTAATGCATGATGTTGAATCAATACGAACATGTGGTGACGAGCAGCAGACAGGATCTAACCTGTAAATAGCCTGTTCTACTTGTTTTTCAAAGATCAATGACGTCATCGTCACTCACACTATCGCTTGAGTGGAATTTTCGAGAAGATATGCATGGAAGCCGCCAAGCCACGTATCACCATGACAACCTACAATGGGCGGAGTTCATCCATTTGAATTTTGGGGAAGAAAAGAGTGCTAAAAAACGCGCCTAATTTGTGTAAATTTACAAAAAAAAATTATAGCAATCTTAATAAAAAGGTAGCTCAAGTTCAAAACGGTTTTGGTTAACTTCTCCAAATTACAAATTTAAAAAAAAACTGCACGAGATAATCGATGAAATCAATACTCAAGCTAACGAGTAATCTGTCCAACTTTTTT